TGTATACGTGTTCGGACATTCACACATACATATTCTGCCAAAAGATATTCCATCTGTTTTAAGACCATTTCTCTGAAATAAACAGGCAACTATTTTATCTGACATTTATGTTCTGTGTGGAGTGGGATTCCCTCCCCTCGCCTCTCCTCCCTTTCCCTCCCACCCCTTTCCCTCCCCTCCACTCCTTTCCTCTCCCTCCTCTCCACTCTGAGACTTTCCAAGGAAGGTCTCTGAATGAAGCAGAGTTATTTTAGAAGTTTTAGTCTACATGGGAACCCCCTTTAAAATGTGCACAGTAGTGGTAACTGAGGTGTTGGAAGTCTTGGCAGATGGAAGGTAGGCAGGGGCGCAGCTGTTTTCACAGATCACTGCTGTCTGCTATGAGGGGGCGGATTTTTGGAGGTAGCTAGGGATGAATGTCACAGGGACTCGGTTAGTGCACTTGGTGGGGGACTGTCAGAACGGAAGGAAGAGCATATGGCCAGGACATGAGCTGCCAGGCTGCCAGCGGAGGGGGAGAATGTGGTGGCTAAAACGCAGCCTGGCTAGCTGAGAGGAGTCCGTACCTTACAGAATCACAGAGCCCCAGGTAATAAGAAAACACCTGGAAATACTGGGTGATGCTTGTCCATGAGCAGGGAAGGAAATAAAGGAAGACACCGGGTACCGTCCCCTTGGCCTCGCCAACAGGAGCGAAATGTGTGGAGGAGCTGGGACTCAGGCTAAGGCTATCCTGTCAGAAGCCAGGGAGAAACTCTGAGAATGAAAACTCACCTGAGGGGGCTGGAGAGGTGAGCTGGGCTGTGCGTCTGATACCCCAAAACTGACTCTGGTAAAAGGAGAGAACCAACTCCCACAAGTTCTCTGACCTCCACATGTGTGCCATGCCATATGTACATATATATACATGATACACACACACACTCATCTACAAAATGAATAAATGTTAAAAATCAGGAGGCATCTGTACTGGACTGTCTTTGGGGTACTGACAGGATATGTCCTCAGCTGCAGCCACTAAGGGAACCAATGTTGTAATTTAAAAAACAAAAGCAGCCTGAAAGAGAAAGATGCAATGCAGACAGAGCTCATGTGGAGGGTTTTTGTTTTGTTTTTGTTTTTCGAGACAGTGTTTCTCTGTAGCTTTGGTGCCTGTCCTGGAACTAGCTCCTGTAGACCAGGCTGGCCTCGAACTCACAGAGATCCTCCTGCCTCTGCCTCCCTCCCAAGTGCTGGGATTAAAGATGTGTGCCACCATGCCTAGCCTAAGAAGTCATTTTCCAATGCACTTGCTACTGTGAACTGTGTGAAGTGGCCTGGGCCCTGGTGTGCCATTGTAGGCTTTTGTTTATTCTGTGTAAATCGGATGTTCTTGTTTTTGCCCCAAGGCGCGGCAGCAAGCTCAATTACGTCACCAAATGGCAGAGGACAGCAAAGCCGATTACTCCTCTATCCTGCAGAGATTCAACCAGGAGCAGTGGGAATACTACCACACCCACATTCCCAACATCTTCCAGGTAAGCTCTCCACAGTTGCTTCTCACGTGACAGGGCCTCACTCTGCAGCTCAGGCTGGCCTGGAGGTCACTGTGTCTCTGCAGCTCAGGCTGGCCTGGAGGTCACTGCTTACCTAGGCTGACAGTCACCTGCCTGAGCCTCCTGAGTCCTGGCCTCAGGTGTGCACACCACACCTAGCTTCCCAAATGTCCACTTAGTCATTTACTGGGAGTGGGTGCACATGTATGTGTGTGTGGAGGCCAGAGGTACACTTGGGTATCTGTGTGTCACATGAATGCCTAGTGCCCCTGGAGATCAGAAGAGGGCCTTGGGTCCCCTCGGACTGGAGTTCCAGATGATTGTGAGTGGACATGTGGGTGCTGGGAATCGAACCTAGGTCCTCTGCAAGAGCAGACAGTGCTCTTAAGTGCTGAACCACCTCTCCACTCTCCCACCCTTTTATGTGAGACTGGGTCTCTCAGTGACAGGCTGCAGAGATGGCTCTATAGTTAAAAACGCTTGCTGCTCTTGTACGAGATTGAAGTTTGGTTCCCAGAACCCACATTGCCTGCAACTCCAGTTCCAGGTGGTCTGCCATCCTCTTTTGGCCTCCATAGGCACCTCTGTGAACATCTGCACACACATGGTATATATAAACTCATACAGACATACACATAAAATTAATAAATAAGTTTTTTTTTAAAGATTTACTTACTTATTTTGTGTATATGAGTGCTCTATCTGCAGGCACACCTGCACACCAGAAGAGGGTATCTGATCTCACTACAGATGGTTGAGAGCCACCATGTGGTTGCTGGGAGTTGAACTCAGGACCTCTGGAAGAACAGCCAGTGCTCTTAACCTCTGAGCCATCTCTCCAGCAAATGCATTAGAATATGCTGGCTGGCCAGCAAGCCCATGGAGTTTCCTGGTTTTATTTCCCCAGCACAGGGCTTACAGGTTCACTCCATCACACTCAGCTTTTTATATGGGTTCTGGGGATCGAACTCGGGTCCTCATGCTTGTGCAGCAAGCCCCTTACCTAGTGAACCACCCCCCAGCCCCCACTGAGCTCTTTCCCATGGCATATAGATCAAGCGATGGCCAGCAATAAGAATGAAGCATATTGCTAACTTGGGGTTCATCGGGTGCCTGTGTAGACGTCCTGGGTCTTCACTGTGCCTGCGTTTTTTGCAGGGGTTGCTATCTTACGACCATGCCTCTTAGAAGACGGCTTCCTTTTTAAAGGACACTTGGCTGCAAGAAATACCAGCTTGGGGCTGGAGAGATGGCTCAGCGGTTAAGCAGGTTAAGCCTGCTCTTCCAAAGGTCCTGAGTTCAATTCCCAGCAACCACATGGTGGCTCACAACCATCTGTAATGAGGTCTGGTGCCCTCTTCTGGCCTGCGGGCATACACACTGACAGAATATTGTATACATAATAAATAAATAAATTCTTTTAAAAAAAAAAGAAAGAAAGAAATACCAGCTTAGCTTTAGGAGATAAAGCGGCAGTCAGAGCTGTGCGATTCGAACAAACAAGCATTGTTTCCTTTGAATTGTTCTCTTTTTTTAAGACTCTCTCTGTGTGTGCACACATTATTTATTTTTTATTTATTTATTTATTTATTTGAGACAGAGTCTCACTATGGACCTCTGGCTGCCCTGGAACTCACTCTATAGACCAGGCTGGTCTTGAACTCAGAGATCCACCTGCCTGTCTCCTGAGTGCTGGGATTAAAGGCGTGCACCACCATACCCAGCCACCTTAGCTTTTGGAAGCAGATTCTCTCTGCTGATCTGGAACTTCCTGTGTGGCTGGGCTGGCCAGCAGCCCACTCTAGAGACCCATTTGTCTGTCTCTACAGCGATGGTCTCACTATTGTACACCACCCCACCCAACCCTGGCAGTTTTACATGATTAGAGGAGGTTAGACTCAGGTCCTTGATTGTGTGGCAAACACATTACCAACTGAGCTATCTCCCCAAACACCTGGATCATTTCTTTGGCTGCCTTAAGTGGTCAAAAATGATATGAAAGATATGCATGATAGATGCAGCTCTCTATAGAACCCTGGTTTGTCACGCCTATGCCTGACCTTCCTTCCCCAACATGACAGGCAGTAAAAATACATGCATACATGCATACATACATACATACATACAGACAGACAGACCTATATTCCTGTTTGGAGAATTTTGCCTGGTTTTTGAGACAGAGTCTTGCTATGTAGCTCAGGCTGGCCTTAAACTAGTAATCCTCCTGCCTTAGCCTCTAGAATCCTAGGGTTACAGTTGTGTTTACACCATGCCTGGCTCCCCACTTGGGGAACTGTTTATGATTTGAGTTTCAAATGTGGAAAAGCCAAGGCAACTGATTGAAGCAACTCCCCTAGTTGGGTCTGATTGGTTCTCATTTCCCCGTGCCACCAATGAGCCTCAGAGGACAGAGCGCTGGTTCTAGCTCAGCCTGGGTTGCATTGAGATGGTTACCAAAATGTTTTTGTAAAAGAGCATGGGGGGTCGTGAGTTGCTGAGGCTGTTTATAATAATGCTGGGTGTGGAGTATGCACTCTAATGAAACCCTAGCACTTGGGAAGTAGAGGCAAGAGGTCAGAAGGCAAAGCCAGCCTAGGCTGCACGAAACCCTGCCTCAAAACAACAAAACGGTCAATAATGTCATAAAGCCCCTGTGGTGGGGTCTATAGTCACTGTCATTGTCACTGGGGTAAATTCGCACAAGGCCAGATTCAGGATGGAAGGGTTTATCGGCTCATAGCTGAGCTTACAGAGCATGGTGGCAGGGACATCATGACAGCGGGAGGAGGCCGGTCACATGGGAAGCGAGGGATGATGCATGTTAGTGCTCAGCTCACTTGAATTTCCTATATTTTTATTTTATATGTGTAAGTGCAGTGCCTGCACTACTGGATGGTTCGCGAGCTGGGAACTAAGCTGGAGACTTAAAGACGCACAGACAGACAGACAGACAGACAGACAGACAGACAGACAGACAGAGACACGGGTCATCCTTGATACAAGCGTGCCAAGCTTATTGTGCTCCAGGGAAGGTTATATAGGGATTCTTAACTGATAGCCACGCCCCAGCTCTTGGGATCTTTCAGCTGCAGGCCTCATCAGAACCCACTCCCCTGCCATCAGGGTCTCGTGCTCAGTGCAGCTGCAGGCATAGGTGTTTTGCTCAGTTCACTCCAGCAGGCAAAGGGTCTGAGGCAGGCAAAGAAAGTCAAGGGAGCAGGGGTCTGCAGCCCCCAACATGTAAATGTTTTGTCTACATGCGTGTATGCACACCACATGTGCAGTTCCTGTGGGAGCCAGAAGAGAGCTTTGAGTCCCCTGGGACTTGGGTTACAGAGGGTTGTGAGTCCCCATTGGGTGCTGGGAATCAAACTCAGGTCCTCTGAAAGAGCAACCAGTGCTCTTAACCTCTGAACCATCTCTCTGGTCCCCTCTCCTTATATATAAAAAAATTGTTTTACACTTTATTTGCTTGCTCTGTGGTTCTGGTGGGTTAGGTGCTTGTACCACAGTGCATGCAGTGGCCAGAGAACATTCTGTTTTCTCCTTGCTAGCAAGTTCCAGGGTTTGAATTTGGGTTATCGAGCTTGGAGGCAAGAACCTAGGCCTGCTAAGGTATCTTAAGGATCTGATTTTCTTTCCAGTCTAGAACTCCAAGCACAATGAATTATAGTTATACCCACAGTGGGGTGGGGGTGTCATCTCACATCAAACTATTTAAGAAAATTCTTCATAAACAGACACACCCATATTCAGTGATTGTGGGTCCTGCCAATTAAAATCGATGTTACACATCACAGGAGTCCTGCTGCAATTGCAATGCGGTTGTTCGAAGGGCTGACTATGCATCCTAGCCTTTCACTGAGCACAGGTCTATGATGGTACACTAAACCCGGTCATTCGGACTCCAGTCTGTTCCCCTCAGTATTTGCGAGTCACAACATTACCCCCAAACAACTTCCCCGATTAGTAGACCATTTTAGACACGCTCCAATTTCTGCAGAAAATCCAAGAGATGGAAGAAAGGCGGATCATGCGCATCGGAGAGTCCATGAAGACGTATGCGGAGGTGGATCGGCAGGTGATACCCATCATCGGGAAATGCCTGGATGGGATAGTGAAGGCGGCTGAGTCTATCGACCAGAAAAATGTAAGTGTAGTCACTAGGCTTCTCAGGGTTCCATCACCTCTCTCCTTGTCCCTCCAACATTGACCCTGGGGCAAGGAGCTGCCACGGGTGGGGTGGCTGAATGTGGTCACTATACTTTTGCGCCTGAAAGCCCTTTTATGAGCCCTCAGTGTTTGGTTTTAGTTCCCCGGTCCTTTTGTGCAAAACACTCAGGGTTGTCACTGAATTAAATGGATTTCTGGAAAGAGACAAAGCTCGTTAGGGCACTAGCAGCCCAGCTGCTTGCTGAGTGTGCATTGTTTGCTGGTAGCATCCCCTCACTGGGACAGTTAGTGCTTTATGATGTTTTACTTTTGTTTTGGGGGGGAATCCTGCTACCCAGCTCCCAAATAAATTGCACATGAAGGCTTATTCTTACTTATGAGTGTCCAGTCTTAGCTTCGTTTGTTTCTAGCCAACTGTTTCGTTTTTTGAGACAGGGTTTCTCTGTAGCTTTGGAGCCTGTCCTGACACTCGCGTTGTAGACCAGGCTGGCCTCGAACTCACAGAGATCCACCTGCCTCTGCTTCTCACGTGCTGAGATTAAAGGTGTGCTCCACCACCGCCCAGCTAGCCAACTGTTCTTAAATTAACTCATCTACCTTTTCCCTCTGGGCTTTTGTCTTTATTTCTGTATATCTTTCTTTATTTCTTACTCCATGACTGGCTGGGTGGCTGACCCCTGATGTCTTCCTTTCTTTGTTCTCTTACGCCTCATTCCTTCTTTCTCCTCCTATTTATCCTCTCTGCCTGCCAGCCCCGCCTCTCCTTGCCTCTGCCTCACTATTGGCTGTTCAGCTCTTTCTTAGACCGTTAGGTGTTTTAGACAGGCAAAGAATCACAGCTTCACAGAGTTAAACAAATGCAGCGTAGACAAAAGTCACATACCTGAAAATAGTATTCCCCAGCAGGTCAATATCACTTTCAGATGTTGCTGAAAGTCCCCTGGGCCAAACAGTGCTTTGTTTAAAGTCCCCGCTCAGTTCCCCCCTTTCCACTCTTTTATTACCTCTGTAGAGAGTTCTGTCAGTCTGGTGTGTGCAGCTGCCTCAGAATGTTTGAAATGGCAGCTGTTTGCAGGAGCGTCCTCGGCCACGATGCTTTTGTGGCTCTGTTTTTGTGTGTAGAGTTGTGATTATAACTTTCCTTGCCTCCCACTGGAGATGTGTTAGCTTTCAGCCTCCTTCCCAGACCTCAGCCAAGTTTATGAGAAACAATTATCCATGCTCCAAAGTGAACAGCATCCTCCCTGCCTCCAGCTACGTCCTACAGGCAAGCTCCCTTACCTTGAGCTGGAAATGTTTTTGTCATTGGTTTTAGATCTCTCAAAAAAAAAAAAAAATTTTTACAAGTCTCGGTCAAGCTTCCTTTAATCACTCTGTTTAAAGGCAGAGCATCATGGGAGGTTGATGGCGATGTGGAAAGCGCCTTTGGCTCTCGCCTGGGGGCACAGATTTATGAGTTTATCTTGTAAGGGACACACTGCTGAGAGGGGGAAAACCCAGTATCAGCAGGGTTTTCTTGGATTGTCCTCTGAGCTCTGGTGTTGATTGGTTGTCCACGCATATGATTGCAGGACTCCCAGCTGGTTGTAGAAGCCTACAAGTCAGGGTTCGAGCCTCCTGGAGACATTGAATTCGAAGACTACACCCAGCCGATGAAACGCACGGTGTCAGAAAACAGCCTCTCCAGCTCAAAAGAAGGCAAGCCAGAGCTCAAGTTTGGCGGCAAGTCCAGAGGCAAGCTGTGGCCATTCATCAAGAAAAACAAGGTACTGGCTGTTCAGACCCTGAGCGGGCTGAGGCAACCAGGAGCAGAGGCTCGGAGTTTATCTTTTGGTCTTAATCAAGCTAAGCTCTCTCCTTCCAGAAAGCGAGAGAGAGCAGTTAGCGTGCTACGTTCATTCCACGATGCAAACGATCTCTTTCTGGTGGTGGTGTCTTTGCCATGGCCTCTGTCCTATTTCAGATGCGCTGTGACCTGGACGGGTCAGCCACACTAACATCACTGACCTCATAGCCCTTCACCCACCCCTTCTCCTCCCAGATGTGGGGCACCTCTGCCTGGAGCAAGGGGGGTGCCCCATCTAATCAAGCTTGCCAGCCTGGGCTCGGTTTTGAATCCATGTTAACCTCTGTCTCCATGAACATTTTCCCATTTTCTTTCCGTAGCGTGGTATGTAGGTGCATGACAGCGCTAACCCGGAGACCTAAAACGGGCATTAACCTTAGGTCAGACTGTGTCTGAGTTTCCCAGGACAGGACTGTCCCGTGGCTGTTTTTCAAAACCTCAGTAATTCAGACCCTTTCCCCGCCCCCTCACCGAGCTGTGTTAGTTTAGGTGCAGAAATGTTTTACCCCTCTGGCTTAAACTGGTTTTGGAATGACTAACGAGAGCCTTAGCTTGCATGTGGCCGTCTGCATGAGCTTTGGGTCACGAGGTTCTGCTGTCCTGTCGCGTACTCACTGAGCCTCTCCTTCTCACCCCCTCTTCGTGGAACACATCCTCCATGATTTCTTTTGTACTGTGGCATCGATATTAATGGTTTGTGTTTTACTTGCTTTGGATCTTGAATATGATTTGATGCTTATTTCTGTTTTGTCTTCTCGTTTCTGATTTTTTTTTCTGTCACCGCTCATCTCTCACGTGTAGCTTGTGTCCCTTTTAACATCCCCCCATCAGCCTCCCCCTCCTCCCCCTGCCTCTGCCTCACCCTCTGCTGTTCCCAACGGCCCCCAGTCTCCCAAGCAGCAAAAGGAACCCCTCTCCCACCGCTTCAACGAGTTCATGACCTCCAAACCCAAAATCCACTGCTTCCGGAGCCTAAAGCGTGGGGTAAGTTCCGCTCTGGAGTCTGCGTCTCTCGCACTGTGTTGCACGTCTCATTCTGCATAAGTTACTTTGTTTGTGAATGGCCCCAGTGTGTTTTCCTATAACATTTAGAGAGAGAGAAAGCTTGAGCCTAGGCTCCCAGAGAGCCACAGAGCAAAAGAATGGCAGAAAGAAAGGAAGGAACAAAGCAGAGCGGAGGGGTGGGAGGACAAGAAGGTCAGCAGGCCTGAGATTTTGTGCTCTAGTCCATGCTGGAAGCGCCCCATACTTCCCCTTCAAGCCATTCGTTTCCTCCTTGATCTCACCAACTTTGATCAGGTCTCTGAAACTGACAGTGGAGACGATGAGGAAGTGGAAATGACTGGACAGTCAGAAAATACATGCTGACTAATTCCAGACAGTGCAGCGCAGTCTCCGCTGTCCTAAGGAAGCCTCGTGGCCAAGAGGAAGGCAGCCAGGCACACTGGTTCCCTTTGTGAAGTTCAGGGATGGTGATAAAGTATCTCTCAACCCGATAGGGCTGAACTCTGCACAAGTCGAGCAGTCCAAATCCAAACTCAAACATCCAAAGTGTTTTGAACGCCATCATGACACCGTGAGAGGAAAATTCCACACCTGACCTCGTGTGAGGTGTTATGGCCATAACACAGCACCAGGCTGTGGGCGTGGCCAGAGGTAGATGTTTCCCTGAGACATGGGCTCCATCTCTGAAACACAGATACCAGAAGCATGTTCAAATTATATGTTCAAAAAACACACAGAAAGCCAGGCAGAGGGAGTGCACACCTTTAATCGCAGCCCTTGGGAGGCAGAGGCAGGTGGATCTCTGAGTTTGAGGCCAGCTTGGTCTTCAGAGTGATTTCCAGGACAGCCAGGACTGTTACACAGAGAAACCCTGTCTCAAAACACCGAAACCAAGACCAAAAAGACTATATAAAACATGTGAGTTTCAAATTTAAATTTGGATCTCATTCTATTTACATAGATCTCCCCATAAAGTCTGAAGCATTTGTGGCCCTGAACATTCTTTCAAGAGTCACTAAACCTGCATCTCTTTGCAAAGGGACAGGCACAACAGCAGTGACATTTACCAAAGCCGCCCCCATTCTGTTCTGAGCTCTCTTTGCAGCAAAGTATTCGAAGAGAAGCCATGGAGCCAGAAAGTCTGCTCACATGGTCTGAGAGTCTGTGAGCAAATTCTTAGAACACACTTGATGTTAAGACTCAGGTTTGAAATCAGGTGTGATGTTGCACACCTGTCCTCCGAGGATCAGAAGTTCAAAGCCATCCTTGGGTACTTAGCAGGTTCCAAGCTATCCTGGCCTATATGAGATTATGTTCAAAACAAACAAACAAACAAATAACAAGCCACCCAGTTTGCAGGACTAGATTGTGTGAGTAAATCTCACCTAAAACCCTACAGGAATCGGGACAGTCATCCCAGGTAGATAGCAGCTGAGCTCTCCCAAGTGAAACTAAAGGATAGGTCTCTTGAGCCTTGTCCAGCTGTCTGTACCGTAAGTGTCTGGGCAGGGTGTGGAGGCTCACACCTGTAATCCCAGCACATGGAAGGCTAAGGGCAGGAAAATGCTAGATTTAATGCTAGCTTGGGATACATGTCTCATTCCAGTCTAACCTGGGATGAAAAGTGAGACCCTGCCCCAAACAAACAAAAGTCCTGAAGCCTGGTGGTCAGAGCTCCCCCACCCCACCCCCCCACCCCGCAGTTCTGTTGTTTGGTCCACCTGTGAAGTTTCCCTGCAGATGTGGCAGGCTGCCTTACTCCTGGGGTCACCAGGCAGCTGAGAAGTGACACACTTATTTTTCCTTCTCTCTCTCTCTTTCTCCCCCCACCTCTTTCTCTATCTCTGTTTCTCTCTTTTTCTTTCTTTCAAGATAGGGTGTCTCTACACTACATAGCCCTAGCTATCCTGAAACTCACTCTGTAGACCAGGCCAGCCTTGAACTCACAGGCATCTGCCTGCCTCTGCTAGGATTATAGGCATGAGCAATCACTCCCAATTTGTGACACTTGTTTTTATGTGACATCTGCCTCCTCTGCTGGGATTAAAGGCGTGAGCAGCCACTCCCAATTTGTGACACTTGTTTCTATGTGATGCTCAGAAGCTAAGTTACCCCTAGAGCTGAAGTTGGGTACCAGACCTTGGCCTGGTAAGCAGCATGATCTGGCAAAGACAGGCCCGGTGTTCCTCATGAATGGAAAGTGTTGTGTTTCCTGCTCCAACATCCACTGGCATAGGAAGAGATTCCTAACCTGAGCTAATCCAATGATTCATCAGCATTTGTCTCAAGTCCATCTGCTGGTAAATTCCTGTGCTAAAAGACTTCATTTCATAGGCTCAGCCTCCCGGTCCATGGCTATGCTCAGCACTCCAGAGGCTGAAGCATGATTGCCACTAAACTAAGACCAGCCTGGGCTTCATAATGGGATCCCATTTCAGAAGAACAGAAATCTGCTGGGGATACGGCTCTGCTGTAGAGTGCTTGCCTAGCATGCAACCCTGGCACACCATAAAACATGATACGGTGGTGAGCGCTGCTGAGATCAGAAGTTCAACATCCTTGGCTGTGGAGCGAGTTTGAGGCCAGTCTAGGCTATGTGGGATCCTCTCTCAAAAATAAAATAATAATGGGCGAGTGATATGGCTCAGCAACTGAAAGTGCTTGGAGCTGAGCCCTGACAGCCTGAGTTCAGTCCCTAGGACAGAAGCGGTGAAAGGGTAGAACCCAGTCCCCAAAGCTGCCCACTGCCCTCCACGTGCACACAATAAATAAATAAAATAGATGAGTAAATAAAAAAAAATAGTAGGGTCCAAACATCAAGGTTGAAGGAAGGAAGGATGCATTTGAGAGAATTATTTTGCTTTAAGCAACTTAGTATATCAAGTTAAAGCTCGGAAGTTTGGGCTGGTGCAGTGGTTCAGCCTAACAACCTCCATGGTGGAAGGAGAGAACCAGCTCCTACAAGTTGTCCTCTGACCTCCACGTTCACGTCTTAGTACTCGAATGTGCACATACGCACTGCATAAATAAATGTAATCCTTTTTAAATTAAATTTAATTTCCTAAAACTGTCAGGAGAGCCACTGTCAGCAGGCAGCGTAGCTTCAGAAGTGGGCGATGGATCGTGCTGAGCTCTGTTGTTGGGACTGGCTGAGCAATCAGCAGCTTCTTGGCTTGATTTTTGCGGGCTTTTAGAACTCCACTCTTCATCAGAGAATGTCCACAGATGTAACAGGGTGAGCCGGGCTCAGAGTCAGTTCCATCGTGTTACCACATAGTCACTCGTGTTTATGAACATCTGCATCTGTCTGTCAGGCACTCACGGGGAAATGTGTCAGGTGTTCCCACAGCCACCATTCGTTTGCACCTCTGGTCCATGATGCTGCATCACACGGTCTACCGGTCATCCATGGTCTCTGTGTCTGTGTTCAGGGTGTCCACTGAGTGTGTAGGCAGAGAATGCCTGCATTCAGTTAGTACAAGAAAAGATGGTTTAAGTCTGATTTAAAGGAAGATTTAAAAAAAAAATCAGCAAAATGAATTTTATTTCTTACTTCTCAAATCTATGCCTAGCAAATTCCTTTTAATGGAAATGTTTCTGGATGGTAAATGCCTTCTCCCAGTGACAAGCGGCCTGCTAGAAGCTTCGACACTGAGGGGCATGGAGAATAGTTGTGCCTCCATCACTTGTGACGAGCCCTTAGGGTCGGAGCTGATGCTTCTTCTTACGGGAGAGGGCGTGATGCTTCTTCTTACGGGAGAGGGCGGGAAGGGAGGAAGGAAAGGGGGGACATTAAGCCTTTGAAAACATCACAAACCAAAGTCTGGGGAATTAGACCAGGTTATTCAGCAGCGTCCGTGTGGGAGGCGCTGAGCCCATGATGAGTGGAATGGAGTCCTTGCTTCCATTTTGCTTTCTCTTGCGCTGGAACTTGAGAACTCCTGAGCAGAGGCGCTCAAGGGAGGATTCCGGAAGAATAACTGTAACCGTGGTGTATCTTGTTTTGTTTTGATCAGGTGTTTTCATTTTATTTTTTGTCTGTGTGTTTTGCTTGTGTGCATGTCTGTGCACCACTTGTGTGCCTAGCACCTTCAGAGTTCAGAAGAGGGCATGGATACCCTGGAACTAGAGTTAGCTATGGCTGTGAGTCACCGTGTGGGTGCTGGGAATCGAACCCAGATCCTGCCCAAGAGCAGTGAGTGCTTCTAACCATTGAACCATCTGTCCTGTACTCCGTAGTGTGTCTTTTATTTTCATTTCACATTGCACAGCCTTCAGAGTTGAATTCTAAGTATCTGGTTTAATTACCAGAGTGTGGAAATTGTGTGAAACCATTTCTTTTTATTTTTTTCTGAGACAACGCCACCACACCTGACTCAATGTGCACATATTTCTTAGCATAGCTTGGTTTACTTCTGAATAATTAAATAAGATTAAATATTTTGGATTTTTTGTTGTAAGCTATTTTCTGGGGGTATTTACAGAGAGTCTGCACTGACAGACCTTAGTATTCCATCTTTACATGATTAAAAAAAAAGATTAAAGTAGAGAGAAGATCCTCAGAGCTGGGTGTGGATGCACACACATGTGATCCCTGCCCCTAGGAGGTAGAAACTGGAGGGTCAAGAGTTTGAGGCCAGTGTGAGCTGTATGAGAGGAAAACCAAAGAGGAATGGGGGAGATAGAGATGAATGGATGATAGATAGATAGATAGATAGATAGATAGATAGATAGATAGATAGATAGATAGATAGATAGATGTTTGATGATAGACTGATTGATTGAGATATAGAGATATATAGGTGATAGATTGATAGATATGTGCCCAGGTAGATAGATGGATAGAGGGACGAATGGTAGATGGATAGGTAGATGAAAACATGTCCTGAGCTTGACTATACAAAGGCTAATCCTATTGTCTTAAACAGAGATTTCCTTTCGCCTACGAAAAGCAATTGTCTAGATGATCCCTCCTGTATTTTAACGTTAACCTTAGGAAATGCCACCAAAGTAGAGCAAGACGTTCTAGAAATCCGTTGTTGTGTGTCACGTTATGAATGTGCGGTTCCTTTCTTTAATCTTCCTTGTTTTCTTGCTGACTGTTGGCAGACTCAGTCTTTGTGTTATCACAGAGAGCTCATGAAGAGGACTCTAGGGAAGCCCACGCATGCCTTCGAGGCTAGGGCCTATGTTGTAAGTCTGCCTGTGCTGCAAGAATGCAGTCACAGCCAAGCCACTAACCCCTTGGACAGCGCCAAGACTGGGGACACAGGTGCAGCTGGGACACTTCCATCCCACTGAACAAAATTCCAAACTGAGACAACTGCACCCCGGGGCAAGGAGGGGGTCTTAGGGTATAACTCCAAAAGCTATTTTATCCCCCAACTGGCATAGAGAAACCCAGGCTCCCTGATGGACATCCAGTGCCCCAGTGACATCCACTGAGTGGGCTCACTGTCAGACTGTCCCTTTTTTGTCTTCATTCTGGTAAAATCTTTAAAAAGCCTGCAACTGCCACCTGAAATGTCCGTGGTGTCCCTGGGTATGAATTTATGGCAGAGATTTACCCATAAAACCCAGCTGCAGAATGTAGTCACTGCAAAGAGACAGTTTATGGCATGACGATCTGACCTTGCTGGGATCCACATCGGAGTGTGCAACCAGCGGGTTCCTAGGGAGTCGTGCCTTGAGCTTGGAGAACAAAAACTCAAGGAGGCACGAGCAGAGAGGGTCCCAGTAGGTTTCACCAAGGCGTATGTGCTTAGGCACTTACCGTCCCCTTTCTTTGCGCTTGAGGTTAGTAGCTGTGACCATCCAATGACACACGGACGAGCTGGCTCTGTGTTATTGATGCTTGCTTCTCCCAAGGCCCCTAACTGTCGCCTGAAGCTGATGGTGTCTGGTCACACACTCCATGAGGCCTTTGCCTTTATTCTACGAGAAGACTTGCTTTCTAATCAGAAGTGACCTAATTGACTGGCTTATGGCCTATAACCTGAAAATGCTTACTCGTGTTTCCACACATGGCGGTGGCACCTCCGGCAGGTGGTCTGTCACCGCCCACTTCAGAATTTGAGGGTTTTGGTGTTTCCAAAAGCCAAGTGCAAGATTTAGTATTTCCTGTTTCTATTGGAGCAGATGCCCAGTTTTAATCATTTGTTCTTTTTTTAAAAAAAAAGATTATTTATTTTATGTGTGTATGTTCTTGTCTGCATGTACATCTGCACACCAGAAAGAGGGCATTGGATCTCATGACAGTTATGAGATGGTTGTGGGCCACCATGTGGGTGCTGGGAATTGAACTCAAGACCTCTGAAAGTGCAGCCCGTTCTCTTAACCACTGAGCCATCTCTCCAGCCCCTAATCACTTGTTCTTATTTTGAACTGGTAACCTTATTGCTTCACAAATTTGGCTCTAGGAGATTTTGGTTATAATCTCCTCACGAAAGGGAGCCCTATAGAGAGTAAATAGTGAGTCAGGTTTTTGGAATTCGCAATAAGACTGCGTGAGGAAATATTAGTGTGCGCTAGCGTGCTTCATGGGGGCCGTCTCCTGCTCTACACCTTGAGTGTGGTCTGTCTGAAGGCGAGCTCAGCTTGTGAGGGACAATCTGTGCGGGAGCTCCAGGAGGCTCAACAATTCATGGCCATTGCCTGTGAAGACTTTTGAAAAGCTGTCCTGGCAGTCTCTTCCTTCCGTGTGGGAACTGTGTCTTTAAAAGGCGATCGCCTATATACAAAGAAGTGTTGACCTTATTTATTTATTTGTTTGTTTGTTTTGGGGCAGGATTTGTGTAATTTAGGCTGGCCTGGAACTCAACTGTGTAGACCAGGCCTCTGCTTCCCGAGTGTGAGCCACCAAACCTGGCTAGAAGTATCAACTGTGAATAACCTTAAGAATGGAAAAGTACAAACGTTGGCTGAGAAGTTTTAACCCCTCTCTACGCAGCATAAAAATCCAAGTGTGGTTTCTTTGACATTTTGTCCTCTGGGTATGTCTGTACCCTGCTATCAGTTACTAGGGCCCTCTGCATTGCTAGAGACCAAGTCCATGTCCTGTGCTGAACTCTCCCTAGTGGGTCTTACAGAATCTTGTTTCTGTTTCATTGCCCTCTTTTGGCCTCTGCAGACGCCATGCTCGCTATGTTTTTTGTTTGTTTGGTTTTGGTTTTTCAAGACAGGGTTTCCCTGTGTAACTGTCCTGTCTGTCCTGGAACTTGTTTTGTAGACCAGGCTGGTCTGGAACTCACAGACATCCACCTGCCTCTGCCTCCCAAGTGCTGGGATTAAAGACGTGCATCACCACACCTGACAAAATAAAAAGAAAAATACTATTAAAAAATTACAAAGCACCCATGTGAGAGGGTGTGTAGGGGAGCGTGCCGGTGACCCCGGCACTCGGGAGCAGAGGAGAAGCCTTCCTGAAAATGTGAGTCCCTCCCAGCCACTGCTGACCGTCGGGTAATCCTGTCTCAAAACTAAAATTTTTAAAAGGATCTGCCTAGATGTCCTGGGGGAGATTCGGTGAACAAAGTGCCGTGCGGTTCTTTTCCTTTCAGGGTCCTTGTGTGTCACCGCTGTGCCTGGCAGAGTTAGGGCCCTGGGTTCTGTTCCCAGCACCACCTCAGGTCACCCTCCCCAGCAAGCTGGTTCTCACGGGTGGCCAGTGGGGGCAGCAGTGCAGGGTCAGGAGGGCTCTCTACTCACACCTTGTCGTGGCTCTGGCTCCCAAGCCACCTAAGACGTTTCTGTATGACCAACCCCTCCTGTAAACTTTTGCACAGATCTGCCCTGGCCATTTTCACAAGTTGGCAGGTGAGCTGATGTTGCGAGTCCTGTGGGACTGGCCAAGTGCCCCCCTCTTCTGACCTGTGTTTTTTTTTCTCTCTCTCTCTCCTTCTCTCTTCCCGTTTGTTACCTCTTCAATTTTTCCGTGAAGCTTTCTCTCAAGCTGGTAAGCATAAAGTCCCCCGTGCATGTCCCTAGTCTAATCGGGGTTTGGTGTGTGTTATAGATGCTATGCCCTGGGCACCCTGCCTCCAATATTAACTGCTCACATTTGACTTTCCTTCGGGCGCTTTTGTTGGTGTTTATTTGACCTCTGGATGCGTGACTGTCTTATTCACTAAGAAAATTAATACTTAACATGATTTGGTTCTCCTTGCTGTGGGGGCCTTATGACTATGCCAAGTATTAATCTACTGTTGATATTCATCAGAATGTAAATGTCAGAAATTGGGGACTGTTCCTACTGGGTCGATTTAAATAGATGGAAGGTACTTCTTCCTGGGAACCACTAAAGGAGACACTTGGGAGACAGAGGCAGGAGGTTCTCTGTGAGTTCGGGGCCAGCCTGGTCTACATAATGAGTTCCAGGCCAGCTAGGGCTACAAGAAGAAACCCTGTCTTAAAAACAAAACGGAACAACCAACCAAACTAACAAAAAAAAGCACAAAACACTCAAAAAAAAACAAAACAAAACAAAAAATTAGGAGCCTGAAGGAGACACTTGGGTGTGTATCACGCCTTTAGTGACTACTCAGATTTTTGGAAGGAAAAACCACAGGAACTGAGACCTCCTGAGGACCTGTGTAGGTCTCTGGATGCCTTGAGTAAAGGTGAATCCAGAGGCCACAGGTCCTCTGATGGACAAAGGGAAGCCCTTTGTCCACCCTTGCTTGAGCTGTCTGCCTAATGTCTGTGTCTTGCTTTTCCTTCACGGTGTAGCCCTAGTGAACAGCCTGAGTAATTGTTCCATTTATTAAAGAAAACTCCTAACCAACATAACCCACTATGCTTTGAGAATAAATGAGGGCTGGGAACATGGATCCTTTCGGAATACACACCCTTCACTAGCTCAGGAGTAAGCTGTTGCTTCCGTATCGTTCTTTGAAGTCAATGAAAAAGCTAAACACCGGGAGCTAGAGCGAAGCTCGGTGGGTAAGAGCGCTTGCCCTTACAAGCATACAGACTCGAGTTTAGATTCCCAGGGAGGTTCCCCTTCAGTGGCACCATCTCAAAAGCCAGGTTATCCCAGCACTGAGGGGTAGAGAGAGGTGAGCTCCAGAGGTTCACTGGACAGCCAGCCTCACCGAAAAGCCAGTCCCAAGGCTGTAAGGTAGAGAGAGGGAAGACATCCGACTTCCTGCTTGGGTGACACCTTAGTTTACGCACATCCACAAACACACACGGCCGTGAAGTGTTGGGTAGTAAATGGGTTTTCCGTAAAAGCAAATATCTTAAGAACCTGTTTCACCCAGGACTTATGCCCAGGAGCAATGTAGGTGCCATCCTGAGATGAAGCAAGGCTAAATGCAGAGCCATTTAACCTGGGTGTGTGTGACCACTCCTTCCATGGCTGGTTCCACCATTCTGCAAACTGGGATATTCCAGTCACGTCAGAGACACTCTTGCTGACTCAGAGCTAGAAACAAGAGCCCCATCTCCACAAAATGAGTCACACGCCATAGCTTTGAGAAAATGTAAACTTCAAAAGCCTAATTGGGTGAGACGCCCTTTCTACCGATCCTAAGTTTATATGAGAAGCTACTGACTTGAATCGCCGTAGCAACCAAGGTTTGAGTCTTTTCCAGTGACTTGTTTTCAAATAACAGTGGTATTTGAATAGCGAGGGTAGCTGTTGACGGGACCTGGCTGGTCACTCATTGCTTTATCAGTTGGAGATAACGTGTAGATCAGCTAGGCTATTCTGTCGGCTGTCAGTAGTAACCAGTGCTGTCTCTGCTGTGGCTAGTCACAGGCCACCAGCCCAGAGTGTTCCTTACAGGTGTCTCTGCCATTTAGATGCCATCCAAGCCTCACACCTGTTCTACATACACTCAAAAGATCCAGGTCATTGCTGAGCCAGCCACGTTCAAACTCAGGCAGTCTCTGCCGCTTCTGTCCCAGACACTGCAGCCACACCCTTCCCATCACCACAAACAGGGCTAGAGGGCCCTCTGGCCACTGACAGATTGCCTTGCTTCCACAGGCCAGTGATTTGTATTGAATTTTGTTACATCCCAGATTTTAAAAACAAGCAAACAAACACCTTCAGAAATCTCAGCTGGGAAGATAGATCTAAAGGCGAAAGTGTGTGTAAGCCTAACAGGAGAGCTTGAGTCTAAATTTCCAGAGCTGATGTAAAAACCCCATGCCCAGCATGCATGTCCGCAAGACCAGTGCCCCATCGGGAGATAGAACATGCAATGGAGACACATACTCTGTCCAAACAAGGGGAAGATAAGAACCCCTGGGGGGAGGGGGTGTTTGTGTGTATGTGTGCATTCTCAATCTAGAAAACAAGTATCAGGGTGCCAAGATGGCTGGGGCCAGGGGTGCTGCTTGGTGCTAAGCCCCGCTAAGCCCCCATGGCCTGAGTTCCATTCCAGAGACACACATGGTTGAAAGATGGAGCTGACTCCCACAGGTTGTATAGTAAATAAAAATTGTGAAGACAGGTTTCCCTCCCAGCTCAACACCTGAACAGAGGGACCAGAAAGATAGACACGGGGATTTTCAAATAGCACACACCAGAGAAGGAAACCGCCTCAGCCTCCTTCATACTGAGGGACCCGCTTGCTTGGCTTGGAGACAGGAATGTCACCCGCCCTCTCTCCCCCCTCGACTAGCACGCACACTCAGGATGGGACTCTGATCTCCATTTGGCCCAAGAGGCAAATATTTGCTGACTCGTGTTCTTCCCAGCCCGTCCATCTTCCTCATAATCGGCCTACAAGCTTTTGTCCCCAAGTGAGCCATTTGGCAAACCCCAGAGGATTCCGGAATCACATTCCCTGGGCCCCCTTTCTTCTCGCCCCCAAGTCAATCTCGCCCTTGTTTGAAAAGAATTGAGGTTTTCAAGTAAAATCTCTCTTGTAAAATCTCTCCTGGCTTTCGCTGGGCCTGTTGAATGCGTCTCATTCTTTATGAAAACTGCCTCACTTGAGGAAAAGCTCTTGGCACTACAGTGAAGCCACAGCTCTCCAGCAAGGAGACAGTCTTTGGAAGGAGACCAGCTCCTGGTGTCTCCTACTGAAGGCACAGGGACAAAGGCAAGAGTGCAGTGGGATTTTCAGAGCCCAGCCAGGTGTGGCGGCTCCCGTCTGCAGTCCTGGCGCTCAGGAGGCCGAGCCTGAAGGACTGCTTCAACTCGAAGGCCAAGCTGGTCTGCTTAGCAAGTACCAGACCAAGCCAGTGCTAAAAACTAGAAGTGTGTGGGGGTAGGGTGAGGGTCTGGAGAGATGGCTCGGCAGTTAGGAGAATGCATTGCTCTTTCGAAGGACCCAAGTTCCCAACGCCCACATCGTGTGGCTCACAACCACCTACCTGTACCTTGTTCCAGGGAAATCTGATGCCCTCTTCTGGACTCTGCTGGCACCCATCCCACATGTCCATATGTGCGAGCGCACAATTTTAAAATAAAGTCTTTTAAATTGGGGCAGGAGACCAGGAGCCAGATGTGGTGGTTTACACCTGTAATGCCAGTACCTGGAAAACCATGTCACTGCGAATTTGAGACTGTAACCTGGGGCAAAATGCTTGGGTAGTGTGCATAGGCCCCCAGGTTCAGCTTTGCAGGAAAGGGGGTGGTAAAACACTCCTGACCATAAAAGTAGAGGAGGTTGGTTTTGTTCACTGGGAAGTAATTTTGACGGACCAGAAACATCAGAAGGGGATGGCATGGGTTTGTTTTGTTTGTTTTGGTTTTCTTGAGACAGGGTTTTTCTGTAGCTTTGGAGCCTATCCTGGAACTCGCTCTGTAAACCAGGCTGGACTTGAACTCCCAGAGATCCTCCTGTCTCTGCCTCCCAAGGGCTGGGATTAAAGGCGCACGCCACCAATGCCCCACCTGCTCACATCCTTAAAGGAAAGTGACAGGCTGGGAACTCTGCCTCAGCCTTGAGAGGAGAGATGGGAAGGAATACTTCAGCTAAGGAAGGAGCAGATGTTCAGACACAATGTTCACAACAACTGGACTATATTACAGAAGTGCCAGCTTCCTACTCTTCAGGAACGGGTGGGAATAGTCAGAAGATGCAAATGTTTCTGGGCTGCCTCCATCTCTCCTCCCCGGAGTGTGGTTACTCCTGGCCTTTGCTGCAGTGCTCTGGCCCTCGTAGATGACAGGCAGTGGTTGGCGGGACTTCTGAGTTTTGCATGTATTTGATTTTCACGGCTCAGCTGGTGTGGCGGGAAAGCATAGTTGGTTGTGGGAAGCCTCTGCAGGTCTGCAGGCTCGGTTTGCCGCCTCCTGCCCAGGAGCACCTCAAGGCTTTCTGGCTTCTCACTGTTGTTTGTGTCTGCAGGGTGCCACACCAGAAGACTTCAGCAACCTTCCGCCTGAGCAGAGAAGGAAAAAGCTGCAGCAGAAAGTGGATGATCTCAATAAAGAGATCCAAAAGGAGACAGATCAGAGGTAGGATGGATCAGTGTGCCCTGTCAAACCACCCAAGCTTGTGGAAAGAGGAAATCTGAAAATAGACGCGCGCGCACGCGCGCGCGCACACACACACAGTACTTTAAAGGCCAGAAGAGGGTGTCAGAACTCTTGGAACTGGAGTTAGTGGCAGTTGTGAGCCACCAGATATGGGTGTTGGGCACCAGACTTCAGTCCCTATGATAAAGCAGTATGTATTCTTACATTTTGTCATCTCTCTGGCCTTACAATGGATAGAAAGGCGTTATTTTGGCAGGTGTTTTGTCTGTTTTCTCATTGTGCACTGGGTTTCTCATTAGAGGTTGTATTTTGAGATAAATACAGATTTTTTTTCTATCTGGGTTTTTTATTTTTTATTGATTTTTGTTGAGTAGATTTATGTTTTTAAAAAAGGAAAAAAGAGGGGGCTGGAGAGATGGCTCAGAGGTTAAGAGCATTGCCTGCTCTTCCAAAGGTCCTGAGTTCAATTCCCAGCAACCACATGATGGCTCACAACCATCTGTAATAAGGTCTGGTGCCCTCTTCTGGCCTGCAGGCATACACACAGACAGAATATTGTATACGTAATAAATAAATAAATATTTTAAAAAAATAATAATAAAAAAGGAAAAAAGAAGTCAGGCAGTGGTGGCGCACGCCTTTAATCCCAACACTCAGGAGGCAGAGGCAGGTGGATCTCTGTGAGTTTGAGGTCAGCCTGGTCTACAAGAGCTAGTTCCAGGACAGGCTCCAAAGCAACAGTGAAACCCTGTCTTGAAGAAAAAAAAAAGGAGAAAAGAATTACTATCTCTTTGGGACTTGGAGACCTTGTTTTGTTTATGTGCTGTGCTGGGGTGGATTCAGGGCCTCTGTATGGATACTAGGCAGTTGTTCTACTACTGAATCACAGTACACATTAAAACATGAAAATCAGCCAGGCGGTGAAGTGCACACCTGTAATCCTAGCACTCAGGAGGCAGAGGCAGGCAGGTGGATGTCTGAGTTTGAGGACAGCCTGGTTTTAGTTGAGTCCTAGGGCAGCCAGGGCTACACAGAAAGACCCCATCTAGAAAAACTGAGTTAAACAAACAAAAAACCAGAAGTGAGTTAACTGAGGCACCTCTTCATGAAATTTGGGAGGAGCCAGCAGGTTAAGGTCATCATAGAGAGGAGAGAGCAGCCATGTCGTTGGAGTCTGAGGCAGGAGGATTGCTGACCAGCGAGGCCAGCCTGCAATGTAGAGTGGGCCCAGTGTCCAAACAGAAGCAAGGAAAGCGGGCAGGGCTCAGTGGTTAAGAGTGTGTGTTCCTTTTGAAAAGGATCTGAATTCTGTTCTCAGAACCACACCAGGTGACACCAGCTCCCAGAGGGGCTGATGCCGCTGGCCGCAGAAGGCATTCACACTCATGTGCACACACATTTTCCACACCTCACCAAAAATAATGAAAATAACTTGTTTTTAAAAAGAAAAAAAAAAAAGCTGGGCAGTGGTGGCACACTCCTTTAATCCCAGCACTTGGGAGGCAGAGGCCGTCCCATCCCTGTGTATTCAAGGCCAGCCTGGTCTGCAGAGCAAGTTTCAGGACAACCAGGGCTACACAGAGAAACCCTGTCTTGAAAAACCAAGAGAAAATAATGCTGTTCAAAAAGAATCTACAGACACAAAAGTCTGGTTCCTTAAAGACTTCAGTAAAATGAGGACTGGGAAGATAGATCAGTGGGAAAAGTCTCCCATGCAAGCGTGAAGAACTGAGTTCTGATCCCCAGTGCCCATCTAAAAGCCAGGCACAGCCGTGCAGGTCTGTAACCCCATTGCTGGCCAGCTGGTGAGAGATCCTGTCTCAAAAAACAAGAGGAGTGCCTAGAGCAAGGGCTCCACACTTATACTCCCTTGCTGTGTAATCAGACTGGGGGGGGGGGTTCAGATTCCAGCACCCACAAAACATGCCCAGCACCCCACAAACATCTCTAACCCAAGCTCCCCAGTGGGCATAGGTGGAGAGATCTCTTGTGGTTACCTCAGAGGAATAGGTAAAGAGTGAAGAAGATACACTTACCGCCGTGGCCTCTGTACTCACACAGGCATGCTCACCTGCGCACTCACACACATGTAAATGGAGGTAGAGCATTCCTCTTCCAACCACCTAGTCCCAGATAATCACACAAATGCTTATATTAATCATAAAACACTCAGCCTATAGCTCAGGCTTACTACTAATCAGATTTTACCCATTTCTGTTAATCTCTATTTTGCCACATGGCTCATAACTTTGCTTGTCCTCTAGCATCTTGCTTCCCTAACAGCTGGCTCATCTCTCCCTGACTCCTCCCTTCTTCCTCTCTGCTTTCCTGCCTAGTCATAGTCTTCCTTGCTGTAGGCCAAATTAGCTTTATTATCAACCAATTAGAGTAATACATATTCGCAGTGTACAGAAGGGTTATTCTACAGCATTTCCCCCTTTCTGCCTAATCAAAAAGGAAGATTTTAACTCTGACATAGTAAAATTAGATTTAACAAAACAGTTATCAAGTAAGAATTACAGGTACAATATCTAGTCTATTTGTATTTGACAGAACTAGAAAAAAATATTTAATTATCTATCCTATCTTAGTGAGTTTAAAGTTTTATATCAAATTTACCTTTTGGCATAACTAAGAAAAACTGTAACTATAATTGTCTAGTCTTCAACTCCATCAAAGACCTGAGAAGAAAATAATATTACCTGAGTAAGCAGAAAGTGTAGGCAAGCAACTTCCAAAAAATATGAGAAATGACAGAAACAGTTGGCTGCCTGGACAGTCACCCAGGGTTCCTCTGTAGCCCTGGGGCATCCAACTCTGGCCCACAGACCTAGCATAGCTCACAGACTTTCCTGTGAAGCAGAGGATTTTGAAGAACTGTCGTCTGCCCTACTTTGTCTTGGCAAAGTTTGGCAGTGGCCTTTCTTGCTTCCTGCTGGTCCAGTTTGGACAGTAACTCTCAGCAATTGAGGCAAGGGCGTTTCTTTGCCCCTATGGCTAGCTATTGCCACAAAGAGGACAGACTCCATAGGGAGTTTCTTTGATGCCCATCATCTTTTCTGGCATACATTGGTGCTGCCAGGAGCTGATGTGTCTCACTGTCATGAAAAGTCTAAGTTAGGGCTGGAGAGATGGCTCAGAGGTTAAGAGCACTGACTGCTCTTCCAGAGGTCCTAAATTCAATTCCCAGCAACCACATGGTGACTCACAGCCATCTGTAATGAGATCTGGTGCCCTCTTCTGGCCCACAGACAAACATGCAGGCAGAACACTATATACATAATGAATAAATAAAAAAAAAGTCTAAGTTATTAAAACATTTTAAATGCCATATTCTGTAAGTCTTTGAAGTGTTTGAAGATTACTATCTATTTGAAATTTATCTTAGTATATCTAGAAAACCTAACATGACTGTAAGTTCAACTATAATAGATGACTAACTGTATTTTTGTAATTCTGTATTATTAATTATACATTACATTTTTAATTAAGCTGTATAAACACAATACTTT